GATAGCTGTCCAATCAGAGCACACCTCGCTTTTCAGACCGATGAGCTTTGTAAAAATCGACGCGTTTCAGAAAGGCGGGGCATAGAGGAGAAACAATAATGTACAGTATGTGGAAAATAATGTGTTTTTTGAACCTTAAACCGCATAAACACATTGCATTACACCAAATAGACAAAATAATGTTCTTTTTAGCAGCATCATATGACCCCTTTTCTGTGCATTACTCAATACTACTTCATACAGATTCATCCTGATGCTCCTCTTTTCGTAATTCACCTGCTATGAACTCAACAACATCACACAGACTCTGGTGAGTTTATAATTTGTTTTTGTGTAATATACATTTGATTTTGAGTTTGAGTTGCTTGGGATTCTGTGGAACATCAATCTACTTTTGTTTAGGTCCTATAGTAGCTTGCAGCACCAGCAAAATAAAATGGCTACTGCGTTTAATATGTGTCATGTGTAAAATACGGTTATTTTCTCATCCCTGTCAGACTGCGGTGACATTTCAATAGATGGAGATAAAATCAGTTTGAAACCATCCTGAAATCTCAAATGATTCATTCATCAATGTGAACGGATGTGATTTGTCAATAATTTGACATCACTGCTTTTGTGTCTGACAGTGTTGACCCATATTGAGAGATTTAAAAGGGGGAAATACTACTTCAAATATCAGACTGATTCAAAATCATTTCTATTTGTCACTTCTGTAGCCTATTTTGTTTTTCTATCACTTACATTGTGTACATAACACAATAATGGAGTGCCTTCCCAGCTAACAGGGAATGTTTTCACAACATTAAGATTTTTTTAAGTTATATACATGTTAAGACAAAACATTCCTAAAGTAGGCTAATGTTTATGGAGCATTCTCATAACTTTATTAATGTTTGATAGCCTACATGTTCTCATTACGTCATTACGTTGAGAAAAGAGATCAACATTCTCAAATGCTATTTGTACTCGAACGTTCTCACAATGTTGAGAGAAAACTTAGAATATTAAAAATAAACGTTTAAATAACATATTTTGGCTGAAAATAAAGTTAGTAGAACGTTGTACGGAACGTTTTTAGTAATAAAAATGGCATTTTTAATGTTCTTATTAAAATATTCAAATAACGTTATATTTTGGGTGAAAATAGTTAATAGGTTTCTGCCACCATTAAATAACTTTTTAAATAACGTTTTAGAAACATCTCAAAAACAACGTTTTTATAGCCTAACCTAAAAATTATGCCCTAAACCTAAACGACGCCAGAGGTAGCCTAATTGCAAACACACTTGTTATAGTCCACTGAGTTGTGTCAGCTCATAAGGAAGGAGATCCAGATGTTGCCAGGGTTCTTTGTGAGCACTGGATCCATGCTGATTTACATATCTGACGGGGAATATCTGACTGCGACGTGGCCTCGTGCTTTCATTGTGTGTCTGACATCACATGAGAAATGAAGCGCGCAGGAGCTCAGCGTGCAGAACTCTGTGAGAGCAGCGAGAGAAGAAACACTGCACGCCAACACATGACAAACCACCGGGGTTAAACAGCAGCAGGATCCGTGTTCATCATCATGGGGATGGACCGGCGGCGGAGAGCCTCGCTCGCGCTCACCTTGAACTTCCTCGCGCTGATCCTCGCCATATCCGCGCTGACCACCAGCTACTGGTGCGAGGGGAACCGGAAAGTTGTCAAGCCCTTCTGTACCGGACCGGTGACCGTCAAACAGACGCACTGCATTAGGTACAACAGCTCGAACATCAACGACAGCCGGCTGGTTCAGTATATCTGGGAGACCGGCGAGGATAAGTTTGTTCTGAGGAAGTTCCACACCGGCATCTGGTTCTCCTGCGAGCAGAACGTCGACCTTGTCGGTAAGGATGCGGCTTTTCTTCCCGTCACACCAGCAAACGGCAAAGAACGTTTCGTTAACGTTCCCATTAAGTTATAAAAACGTTATTTCTTTTTGAAACGTTTGAACGTCCGTTTTTTTTAACGTAGAAAGAATGTTTCTTTTTATGAACGTTACAGGAACATTCCAAAAGGTTATGAGAATGTTACATTTGAATGTTCTCTCATCGTTTAAAATACCCATTTTTCACATTTAATTAAAGAACGTTTTTCTATCCGAACGTTGGAGGAACATTTCATTCTATCATTTTGAAACTGTTATAAAATGTTATTTCTGAATGTTTTTAATGTCCAAAACGTCCATTAAAAAAAAAAAAATCTAATAAGAACGTTTCTTCTTGGTTATGCGAATGTTAGAGGAACATTCCATTCTATCATTTTGAAAACGTTATGAGAATGTTAGCTACATTTGAATGTTCTCTCAACGTTTAAAACACCCATTTTTAACATTTAAAGAATGTTTTTCTAGGTTATCTGAACGTTGGAGGAACATTTTATTCTGTTTTTATAACATTTTATAACATTTTATTATTTTGAAACCGTTATAAAAATCTTATTTCTGATTTTTTTTTTTTTTTTTTAATTTTAAAAACCCCCGTTT